ATCGAATGACAACGATGGTGAGTGAGAAGACGTCACGTGACTAAAAATTACCTGTTTGGTTTTAGCCGCACTAAAACTGATGAGCCAATCTGTACCAAAGTTAGAAATTATATTAAGGTCAGTTTGTAAGGATTTAAAAACTTCGTCTCGGTTTGAGTCGGCTACGGGTCGCTGCCCGGGAAGCGCAATGAGCTGTGAGGGGTTTCGTGAGTATGATGCGTATAGTGATGTGTCATCTGCGTAAAATAGAGATTCGTTATGAGTGATGTCAGCGAGGTCATTAAGGTAAATGAGGGCAAGTAATGGACCCAGGACGCTACCTTGCGGGCATCCGGTATTAATAAGACGGGGCTGAGAAAAATTGTCATTAACACACACTCGGATACTTCGGTCAGCTAAATAAGACTTAAGCCATGCATGAAGTGTACCTGTAATTCCGAATAGTGTCTTGCATTTATATAAAAGACCTGCGTGCCAAATTTTGTCAAAATATTTACTTATATCTAAAAATATTGTTGTAAAATCGTTGCCAGTATCGAGTGCGCTGTACAGTTTGTGTGTGAGGTAAACAAGTTGAAGGTGAGTACTATGATGTGGCCTGTAGCCGCTTTGTTTGTCGGTAAGAAGATTATTTTCGGTTATGTGACTGTAAATGCGGGGAAAAATGATTTTTTCAAAGATTTTAGAAATGCAGGGTAAAAGACTGATGGGTCGATAGTTTGATGGATCTGATGCTGAGCCTTTTCTCTTAAAAATAGCGTGAACCTTTGCTTCTTTCCAAATTGACGGAAAATGACCTTGATTTATCGATTGATTAAAAAGTTTAGTTAGTGGTGTCACTATTAAAAGTGCTACTAGTTTTAAAATTTTTGGTGGGAGATTATCGGGACCACATGATTTGTTTACGTCAAGTGAGTTTAAAAGATTAAGTACTTCTCTCTCCGTAATAGTTATTGTATTTAAGATCGGAACCGGGGATTCTGGCGTTAAAACTGGTATTTGTTTGTCACTGGTCTCTAATATTGACTGATTAGCAAAGTAATTACAAAGTAAATTGGCTTTATCGTTATCATCAGTTGTTGTCTCACCGTCTGGTTTGATGAGTGGTGGTAATACGTGCGTTTTGGATCTTCCGGTCATTTGCCTTAAAATATTATGGTATTTGTGCGGATTGTTTTTCGTAGATAAAAGTTGCTGTACTTGATTTATCCTATACGCTTCTTTTAATTTTTTATTTAGTTCAGTAGCTACGTTTCTCTGCCGTCTCCATCTAGCCCAGCACTCGTCTGTCTGTAGTTTGAGCGCCTTTCTGAATAGTCTGTCTCGTTTTCGGGCTTCCCGTTTTAGTTCATTATTGTACCATGGCTTGCTATTTGGTCTAGTGCGTATTATTCTAGTCGGTATTGCTTTGTCTGCTGCGCTCAAAATTGCATGTGTAAAATCCACGGTGGCCTTGTCAGTGTTTTGATTAATAATATTATCCCAGTCAGTTTGTAAAAGTTCGTTTGTGAGCATATCTGCGTCGAGTAGGTGGAAATCTCGTACCGTCTTTGTAGTGCTCTCTGTAATTGGTTTTGTTATTTTCACTGTTACGTATACCGGAAAATGGTCAATCTGGGAGAATGGGGAAGCCACACCATGGTCGACCACCTGGTCTCTGTCAGATATAAAAATTAAATCTCTTAAATTTGCAGTGCTAGCGTTTGGCCTAGTTGGCTGGTCTATTAATTGAAAAAGATTCAGAGAGGACGCCATGCCTTCTAGCTGTCTTTCGAATGAAGTGATTTCGCTGTGATTTTGATGGCTTTTGTGTAGATAATTGTTACCGGCGTTAAAATCTCCTGCAATTAGAATCATGGTCGGATTGAGGGATTGAGCGAGTGCCACACTTTCGCCTAATGTCTCTAGAAATTCGTGCAACTTGTCTTGAGACATTTTTGGTGGGATGTAGACACAACATACTATTATTGTTTGTTTCTTTATTTTTATGAGCGTCCAGATCCACTCTGTGCTTCCAATTTCGAGTTCTGGTAAGCGTTTTGCTGCAAGTGAAGTCTTAAAATAAACAGCTACACCACCCCCGTGTCTAGAGCGATTTTTCAGATACGGTTCGTGATAATTATCGAGTTTATAAAGGCTAGGGTGTATCGTATTGTCTAACTTTGTTTCTGTCAACATGAGAATGTCGGTCCCAGAAGAGTCAGCAAAGTCAGATAGTTCGTCTAGTCGGTGTGGTGAGGTGATGCTATTGATGTTCACGTGGGATACTTTAATGCTCATGTTATCGCTACTGAAAGGACCAGGGTTCGACTCTATTCCAGATTTTAAGAGTAATGCGGGGGTGTCGTGATATATGTTCAGGATCCACCATGGGATATGAGGAGAGAGGGAAGTAGTAGGATGTGGGTGGTTATGAGAGCGATAGTTACCAGAGTCCGTGCAGGAGCCAGCAGAGAAGTAAAGTACCAAAGAAGATGGTGCCAAACAGGTGACCGGGTTGTAGGCTGGCGGAGTGGGGAGCCCAAGTTGTTGGTTAGCGTCAGGAGAGGTTGATGGTGCCCTCCAGCTGGCGGAGACGGGACGGGCGGCCGGCGGCGCACCTGGAGGCAGCGGGTAGCATGGAGTCAGTGAAAGCGGCGTTGGGTTAGGCACTGCATGCACGGTGACCGGAGCACAAACATTATTGTTTACGTTACAATACAGGCTAGGATAACTTATCTATACATAATATGATCGGTAGAATAAATAAAGTTAATTGAACAAAAATACCGTCGACAACCAAACAAAGGAAAACAACCAAAAATTTAAACACGTTATGCACATACTCTGGTGAAAACAAATGCACACAATGAGGACTGCTCCATCTAAACAACCCAGCAGAACCGGCAGCAAAGCAATCGCGTCGACGGCTCATCAGACCTAGCGGAGCGCCGCGACGCCTGCAGCTTAAACGTACGTACGTGACCGTCTGTCTCAACACTCATATTCCACTACCACGTCATACAACCCCGACACGCCTCCCTCAGCGAAAAAAATATCACTCTCACCCACGCTACCCCGCCCCCTCCCACCAGCTCCCCCGCCCCTCCCCGCTCTACCCCACTCCTCCAACCAGCTACCCCGACCCCTCCCGCTCCCCCACTCCCACCACAGAGCGAGTCAATAGTCTCGGAGTAATAAGAAGTTACAAACTGTGAGTATGAGCAGGACGTGGTCGTCGCTCTCTCGTCGCCGCGGTTGCCCGCAAACGCGGGACGCCAGGTCGTCACGAGTGCAGAAGGGCCGGCCAGCCGACCGCCTCAGCGACGGCGGTCAGCTGATCGCTGGGCGCCGCCGCGCCCTCCTCTCGCGTCACCGCGGCGGCCGGCGCGGACCGCGCCCAGCCTGCCGAGCCGGCGGCGTCGTCGATAGGCAGGATCACTCACTGACGGGTGAGTTTTTCCAGGTCGTCCTCGGTCTGGATCTTGTGCGTTGGTCCTCCTTCCTTGATCTTGACCTTCATCTGGCACCCGTCACTCCACGCCGCCCACAGCTCGCCGCGGCGGCGGAGCTCGCGGGCCCGGAACATCACCTTCTGGTTGGCCTTGGTCAAGTTGTCGGTGACGAAGATCTTCTTCAAGTCGACGCCTTGGATACATGACGTTCTGGGAGGTATCACATCCTTGAACTTCCGGCGCGCCGAGTACACCTCCTCGCGTTTCGTATAGCTGACGAACTTCACGAGCAGCGGACGGTGCACTGGCTGGCCGGTGGCGGTCCTCTTCCCCTTCGTCCCGATCCTGTGAGCGCGGTCTATGTCCGACTTCTGTACGACCACGCCGACAGACTTGGCTAGGTCGATACCAACCTGGACGGGGTCCTCCTTGTCGGTCTCTGGCAGGCCGTTGATGTTGAGGATATTCCGACGGGAATATTGCTCAATGTCGTTTATATCCGCTGCTTGACGAGTGACGAGCTGCTTCAGAGTACCCACCTCCTCTTTCAGCGCAGCGATCTCGGCGTCACGCTTGTCAAATTCACTTTGAAAAAGTGAGAACAGTGATAGTTTTACTTCAGCGTTCGAGAAACATGCAATCAATGCAGCTTCTAGCGTTGCAGGCGTGATAGCTGGTTCACTCCCAACCATGGTGAATGCGCACTCCGGTCACCGTGCCCACTCACTGTCCACCAGCCGTCACTGTGCGCGCTCAGCAGCCCTCACCCCACTGGCGGCTCACCGGGGCCTGTCAACTCGATCGAGCGGGCGCGGAGCGGTCACGACCCGGCGGCGGTCAAGGCCGAACTGAACATTCCTTCTACCAAGTATTGGACTATTCCCGATGCATGTGAGTGACCCCTTATGCACGTGCCACGTGCAAAACGAAGAGGTGTCAGTTTTGCAATTGTTGCAATATTTCGGTAACTACTTGGCCGATTGCGCTGAAAGTTGGCATGAAGGTAGGCACCCACTAGGCACTGCATATCCATATGCCAGAGTTGGGGTGCTGCTGCACGTGCGCACGTGCAGGGGTCGTTTCCAGATCTCGAGAACGGCTGGACCGATTGCGCTCAAATTTGGTACACAGTTAGGGACCGGTTAGTAGGGTGCCGTGCAAAAGCCAGTCGGGACCCATTTTGCACGTGCGCACGTGCAGGGTGCCGCTCCCAGATCTCGAGAACGGCTGGGCCGATTGTGCTCAAATTTGGCAAATCGCTAGAGACCGGTTAGTAGGGTGCCGTACACAAGTCAGTTGGAGGTACCCCCTCGCAATTTCGCACGTGCAAGGCCCACCCTCTCGCTCGCTCCGTTAGTCGCCCCATAAGGCGTTATACTGGTTCTAACATTAACCCAATGGTGGTGCACGGTAAGAATGGCTTAAGAATGGCTTTGCTATTCTAAAATCAACCTTTGAACTTTGAAGTCCTACCAATAAATTTTGGAAGGTGACGCCCGTAATGAAAATGGCTAAGGTATACCTACCCCAATTACAAAGGACGCTTTAAAAAGCTTTCAAGAGATATTGCGTGTGTCGGCATTTATTTCAACCGCGTTCAGAAAGCGGAACAACAACATTCACGAAACGTAATCAGGCGAGGTGATCGCGATGGAAACAGAACACTCGCACACTCACCGATAGGCGGCGCTGCAGTCGGCGCAGGAACGCACACTGAAAACAATTTCACCCGAGGCCGGCGGGTAAACTGGTGCCTCGCGAGTACCCCTATCTGCAATAATTTTTGGCCACCCTTCCAAGAGAAAAGCTAGATCCCATTGCAGGTTAGTTGTGACCGCTGTTAACGGACACGAGTATACCGCAATGGGACCTAGCTTTACTCCTGGGAGGGTGGCCAAAAATTGTTGCAGATAGTGGTACTCGCGAGGCACCGGTTGACATGCCGACCTCGGGTGAGATTGTTTCAGTATAGGTAGCGCTCGCAAGTTACGCCCTTCACTCGTCCCAGCGAGAGTCACGATAAAGTCTATCATACAGCCAACAACACTAACATAACTCCCCAGTGCCCACATCGCCCAAAACATCAACTGACCTGGTTTCCTGACTCATGACTGACTCGGTCAGGACTGACTCATTTAGGTCGACTCGTGACTCATTTCTGGCCACAACTGACTGACTCGCGGAAATATCTCTGACTCACTGGAACATAACTGGTCTTGTATCACCCATTTGTAGTCTCTTTGGTCACAAAGATCACACCTTTGACTCCCCATAGCGTCTATATGCAGCGCCAGCGCTTTTCTGTCATCAGCCTTTATGACTAGTTCATCGTATGAAGGCTCAGTCGAGTTTTTTTTTTTAAGCCTTCACTTCCCACTTGGGCTCACTCACTTTTCCGTTTCTTCGAACTGAATCACTCGCGACGCGAAGTTCCGCGATCGCCACTATAGGTGGCGCTCTCATCGCCCGAAATGGCATATAGATGGCTCTGTAGTCACACCTGAGATCGTTCCAACATGGCGGCCGTATTTGATCACCGTGGCAGCACTGCTTTTCAGTTCTTGAGACCACTTCATTCTACCACATTCTGAGACCACATAGCTCCCATCTCACGCACCTCATGCAGGTTTTACCTTCGTCCCCGTCAACATGATCGAACTACACTCGAAAATTTCATCTTTCTTCATAATCATGCGCCCTTGTCCTCCTTATTTTCATAAATACCCTCGCCTGATGGCAGCACGATCATATTTACGACAAATTTCTTCCGTCTTTCTATAGGTATCGCCATATCTTTAAAGGTGTCACCACCATCGCCCACAAAAACGCACCATGTTTTCAATGAACGTCACGACCATGTCCCATTTCAGTGTTGCAGCACATCTAATCCCGTCTCACAAGCATTTTCCATATAGATCCCGCCATCATTTTCGTGCCTCATGTCGCCACCGTCTCCAATATAGGTGTCGCCATCGTCGTCCCATATAGATGTCGCCATCATCTGCGTCCTCTAAGCCCTGCTGTTGGACTCCCTCCCATTCTCAGTCGATCCTGCCGCGCCAGCCGACTCGCGTCTCGGCGGCATTCTTTCATTCATCGCGTCAAGCCCCTTCGCCTCGGCGAACGACGCGATCTTGTGGCTGGGGGAGAACCCTTGTAGGGCGCTGCGCAGCCCAACCTTTCCCCCGGAGAGAGCGCCCAGAGGCAGAGCGCCGGTCGGCGTGAGGCCCTTCAGCTGGAGAACTGATTCGTTCTCCTCTCTGGGGGAGGAGAGGGGAGTAAGGCCCGTGGTAAAACAAGTGATTTTTTTACAAACTCATGTTTCCTATATGCATGAGATAACGCACTCGACTGCAATGTCGAGGTAACTGAAGGTAAACTTTTAAGTTGCTACGACGAAATAATCTATAACTTGCTAATATAATTTAGCGACCTTGCGCACCAAAAAGAGCTGCTGACGATACAGCATCTGTCGCAATCAATCACGCTCAGTTCTTTGTAGCGTAGTTGAAAGGGGATCCACCTCACAACCCATGTAGAGCAGGTGAACAACTTGAAGACGTAAAGTAAGCCATGAAGCACTGGTCAAACAATCAACGTGATGTCTTCGAGGAAAATAATTAATTTTCAAGCACATAACTAATTCATTCGAAGTATAACAGAACCTCACTGCAGCGCCCTAATGCTGCCATTGAAGGTTCACAGCTAACGAAATCACGAGCTACACTCACCGCAGCACGGAGAAGACTCGCGCCATTTTGCCGATGGCGCGGATCTTGTTCTTGATAACCACCTTCCGCTGGGCGGCTGCTTTTTCTGAGGGGGGGGGGGGGGCACGGTGGTTAGGCACGAGCCATGCAACGCCTAGTTTCAGGAACACCTACACAATACACATGAAGTCCAACAGCGCAAATTGATAAACATAATCACAAAGTCAGAAAATGACTGCTAGTTCCCACTTAGCATTAGCAATAAAGGAGAGCTATGAAGTTTAAAGACGAATATTAAAAATGAAATAGGAAGTAAAGAGCCAAACACGTTCCAGGTATAAAATCAGCATAATTTATAGTGCAGGAATAGGAAAAACGCGCACAATATGTTTTTACATCGCATCAATATTTTTCTCCAAGCTGGACAGTGGGCGTGCTCTACAGACCCGAATAGCGTTCGTATCCACCATCCTGTTCCGACAGCTGAAGGCAAGGGAAGCTGTATCATGTCGTCACTCACCATCCTCCAGCGTGTCCTCGTCTCCCGAGGACATGAGCTCGTCATCTGAGCAGATGTTCAGCAGGTTCACCAGCATCTCCGTCACTGAGAACAACAGAGCAGGCCAGGACCGGTCAGATAAATTGGTGAGTCACTGGACACAACAGAACGAAGCAGGTCAGGTAAAAAAGGTAAGGTAAGGTAAGGCAAGATATGGTAAGGTAAGGTTAGAGGCGAGGGCTCACGATAGGGATGGACACTTTGCGGCAAACTCCTTTCTATCCTACTAAGTACCAAATGTTTACCTTCTTGCCCTCTCAGCTGCCTTTCTTCCTAGTTGACCGTCTTTGCCACTTCTGCTCACCTACTTTTCTTTCCTTTCTCTCTATCTCTCGCCTTTTTTCTCTCTCGCACGCACCTTTTTCTCCGACGAAGGGCATGGACCATGTGAACACGTCCATGAAGTTAGGCAGCCAGTACGGATGGGGCGAACAGTTGAACTGGCGGATGTTCATCACGTTGTTCTCGTACTTCAGAACAGCCGCCTGGGAGAACAGAATGAACAGAGAATGTGTGTGAATGGTCGCATGATCGCAAAGAGGACATACGCGAGCGCAAAGGTTCGTATTCGGATATAGTAATAAGATGTACTAGGAAACTTGAGGACAGTGGCCTATTAACAATACATTAGACACGTTGGAATCCATTGGGCTCAAGGCTCAAGCATGATACGTGAGAAAACGTGAGAAATACACAGTGAGAAAACGCGTGGCGCACGAAAGACAAAATAGAGAACGAATTGAGTAAACGAATGAATGTAACGGTCCCTATGTGGCTGATGGTTGAGAGAGAACATTCAGCACACTGAATATCGATCCAAGGACACGGCTGATGGTGTCTGTCTCTCTGTGTCTGTCTGTCCCCGTCTGTCCGTCTGGTAAATGAGGTGTATCTATCTTACCTTGTGTTGTAGACGTCCAGGTAGCTTGGGGCCGGTGGGTATAATTGTATAGTGTATCTTAGCAGTCTGATTAGTGCTGGTGTATCTTACCTTGTTGTTGTAAACGTCCAGGTAGTTTGGTGCCGAGAAGATGGTGATCAGAGACGGGAAGCCGGTCGTCTGGCTCTTCCGGTACATGCGGTACCTGACGGAGCAACGATAACATGAAATTCATTTATTCGATCCATCGATCGATCATCCGTCATCCATCCATTCGCATAGCCTTTCGCATATGTTTCAGGAGTCCTGAAAAGACTCAAAGCTACAGATTTAACTATATAACTATAGATATAACTCTACTTGATATGTCTATAGATAAAACTGAATAATTCACGCAACACAATGGTCAAAACGCTAAGTCAAACAAAGTTGGAGTCAGTACCATCAAATTCAGCAGCAGGCCTAATAAATTTGTGCACAGGATACCGCAAACCATTTCAAAGTTCCGTAAATTCTCGCCTCCCTGGCCGATTCCACTAATCGGGTCACCAATTGGAACTTCTCTTACCCGGCGTCCTGGGCCTCGTGGGCCCGGATGATGGACAGAAGACTGTTCTGCTGCAGAAAGTCACAACACGCAGCGTAACTGAAAACCAGAGCACAGTTGAGTCACGAATTGTCACATGCGTGCTCACCGTAGGCATCCATAAGCGAGGCAACAGTCCCACATGGGCGGCCGGCGGCATGTAGTGACGCATATCATGCATGGGATTTGAATATCATATAACAAACATGGGAGCAAGACTCACGATTAGGGAAGCATAATGTAATTAACCTACCGGGATCACTGAACAATACTTTTTGCAAGGTGTGTATCAATGGTTCGCCATCGTCACTATTGATACATTTATAATCCCTGGATAAAATAGAGAATCCCCAACAAAGTGTCACAGTCTCCAAAAATAACATGATTAATCCGCAATAAATTCCAAAGCCCGCTGCAATCGCATATGTCCCTAATACCGAGGGCAAAACAAAACGCATAACACCGCCCAACACCTCCATCACAAACATGCATTTTCTCACCCAATGGGGATGTTCGGCTTATTTCCTCACCAGGTGGCAGCACTGCCTTCTTTGGACACAGAAACTGTGGCGGCGAATGCGCCAATGTGTTTTGCACTGTGTGGAGTCCGTGCGGTGTCGGTCCGAGGGACTGAATTTCGGTGAATTTGATAGCAATTGATTTGAATTTTGCTCAGATGGGTTGTGAATTTATATTCAGCAAGTGTCACAAACATGGAAAGGCAAGTTTACAAAGGACAGGAGACTTAGAAAGGCTTCAATTGACGTAGCCGAAGAGAGGCGAGAAGCCGAAGATAGACCGACTCCAAACGGTAATTCCATGGATGTAAACACGTTTCCAGACATTTTTTATGGCGAACTTAACTAAGAGTATAAAATAGTCTAACTTAACTCATAGCTGGATCTTGTATTGCCCATATGAGGTAATTTACCTGTATAAGTTTATGGGCATATCAATATAGGAAATTGACCTGCCCTTTGAGAGAGGCATTAAAAGATGATACATGCTGCTGAGAATGATTATATAAATTCATTGCATTTTTATAAGATTCATTGCAAGCATTTTAGCAGTGTTCTACTTTGTCTGGTACCAAAGATATTGCATGCAGATAAAGGTTATGAATTATGATGGAAAAAGACAAATAGGATCTATTTTGACACCAGCAACCAGGAGGTATATGTAATAGAACACTAAGCTACCTACTATTTATGAATTGTTATAAGTATTGATAATCCTATGTGGTGTTACAGATGCCCAGTGCAATCATGCTTCTGGTCACTGGTGCGGAGTTGTCAGGATGGAGTCCGAGGAATCAAGGAAGGCAGAGGACCTGCGTATGAAGGAACCAGCCCTGCGGATGAAGTTCTGAGGTGCATACAGAGGGATCCCACTGAAAGACCAGGTAGGAGTTGGTGAACAGCTTGTGCACTGCAGTATATCATCCAGAAGTAACTGATAGCCTTTCTTGCAATTTTTTTAACTCATCACCATCTAAAGCTAACTCATTATTGATATAATATCTTCATTTCATCAGGTAAATAATTGTTAACTCTAAGCTTTGATTCACACTGAAGTGAACACTATTTTAGAATATTCACTCAGCTTTTTTAGCAACTAAATACGGGCAAGTTTTTGTTGTTTTTTTAAATAAATTTTCACCTTCTAGAATATTTGTATAGGTAACTGCAATAAAAGTGCATTTCAAAATTGCAAATACTTTGTGTGAAGTTCACTTTGTGTACTCTAAGTTTGATGATGTCACTGTATCCAGATCATCATATCAGATTTCAACTGTGCTTAAACTGCAATGTTTTGCTAATTGCTTCAGTATATAATGTCCTTTTATCCATGCATGTTAAACATGTGTATCTCATTATGACTTGCCAAGATCTTTCCCTACTGTCTTATGCCATTTTTCATTTATTCACAGATGCAATGCTGCATTGATAAGATCCAGATTCAAGAGTATGGATGCTACCAGATCCTGTGATTTGAAGTTACCAGTGTCACTGCTGCTACAAATGACATCAGCAACACTTCCTTTGGTGAAAGTTTAGAGGAGCAAACAGTTGGTGCTCTGTGTAGTCAGGCAGTGGAGTTTTGCCACAATCATGAAGTTGATTAAGGAGTCAATTTTTGCTCTGGCTTCTGGGACACCTTAAATCTACATTGCAACCTATGCTAGTGTTCAACATTTCGTGTCATAGTATCACTGATGCAAAGCGTGTTGCATCATACACAAATGAGAGCCAGCAAACTGTCAGATATTTTCTAATGATAGAGAACTGCATGCCTTAAGCAATTGTTGAGTGGTGAATGGTAGGGCTCAGCCACTCAGCTCCTTCTTTCAAAAGCTATCAATCAGCTCTGGAAGAGTAGTCATAGCAATGCTTCATATGTGAAGGCTACTTGCCTGAGGGGTGTTCACGGGCACCGCACACTGCTGCGTGCGGTGTGTGCGGTGCGTCCAGCAGGCGTGGGGGTAGGGGATGGGTAGGCGGCTCTGACGTCACGGCTGCGTGCGGTGGACGGTCCGCTGTGGCCAGTCCCGACCGGCCACAGCGGTCGCTGTGTGCGGTGACGAAAGGCTGACGTAGGGGCGCAGTGGGCGGAGCTTGGAGGCTGTGTGCGGTCCGACCGCACACAGGGCCCGTTAGTTTGTTGCAAGTTTTCCAGGCAGCCTTCACACTTGTGTCGCTGAACATTAAACTTCAACTGATAGACCGACGAGATATTGTCCCTCATCAGATTGTAATCAGTCAGTCGTGTTGGTAGAAGGTACAGTCTGTCTTAAAAGTACCGCGCAAAGTGACGGTGGATCCATCAAGCCTGACCGAGGAAGGGCCTGCTATAATTTGAAAGTCACCGAACCAATTGACCTGGGGAACGGACGAGGATGTCATATAGAGCCACGCAGAAATCGCCGGTGATTCGTTGCCCACCATAACAGAGTGGACGCATGCCGGATGAAGGGTTAAGTCAATAGTCTGTACAAACTACAGGGATGTGATTGACTTATCTGACAGTGACGAGCGCTAGAGGTCAACTTAAGACCGTAGGTATGCGTTCTTGTCATGGAATGTGTGCTGTAAATCGATTGTTTCATGCGTGTGAATATATGTCTGAATGTAATAAGATTTTTAATTTCAACTGTGTAAGCTAAAATATGTGATAACATCGTATCTTTCGTACTCCGTAGCTTTTGGTGACCATTCTATCAGCTGCCTTTCCTTCCGCTCAATGACGATGTAGTAGTTTGCCTTTCACACGCGTCATTGTCTTCCTAATATCGAAATCAACTGTAGCTACTCATTTTAGCAAAATGATGAACCTGAAAAAGACATGAAACGCAGTTTCCGTTCGCGGTGCGTCGGCCGCCGTCGCCGCCCGCAGTGTTATCCCCGGCCCGGCCGGCGCGTTGTGTCCAAAGCATACCGTGCTGCCACCTGGCGAGACTTTTCGGAACTCTTAGCGCGAACATCCCCATTGTTCTCCCACTTTCTCACTTCTCTCGCAACCCCCCCCCGCTCCCCGCCACCCTCACCTGTAGAAGTAGGAGCACCCTCTCACACTGTTGTGCATAAAGTGTTCAGTGGTGTTCCGCTCATTCCCGAAATCCTCCAGCGGGTCAGCCCAGAGGAGGTCGCACATGGGACCGAAGGCGGGAGGCTCCTTGAATCGGTCCAGCTGTGGGTCAGAGGTCACAGGTCAGGTCAGAGGTCAACAAGTCAGGTCAGGTCAGAGGTTAACAAGTCAGGTCAGGTCATAGGTCAGAGGTCAGGTCAGAGCCAGGTCAGAGGTCAAGTCAGATGACGTCACAAATAGGACCGAACGCAGGCGGCTCCTTAAACATATCCAGCTGTGGGACGTGACAGGTGAGGTGGGTTTGGATGGTGTGAAATTAGGGGTAAGATGTCAGCCACTTCTCATGGTCACTCCATTTTTTTTTATAGATTCTATAAAAACGGAGCTGTGCTCAAATGTCTGAGCTTAGGTTATGAGTAACGATGAGATAATGTTGTGTATGAAAATGAGAAATGTAAGAGCATGAGAATGTAATCAGATTGTAATGTCAAACAAGGTCATCCCCTCTCCCTTCTTGTTTCTCTCTCTCTCTCTCTCTCTCTCTCTCTCTGAGGTCAACAAGTCAGGTCAGGTCAGGTCAGAGGGTCACCTGGATGTAGGTGATGTGAGAATAGCAGTAAAGTTAGATGTCAGTCACTTCTCATGGTCACTTCATTTTCTCATAGATTCTATAAAAAGGACGCTGAACTCAGATGTTAAAGCTAAGGTGACGAGTAGCAATGAGAGAATGTAATGCTAAATATCAGACAAGGTCATCTGCTCCCTCCTTGTTCCTTTCTCTCTCCCTATCTCTTCGTCCTCTCCCTCCCTCCCTCTCTCTCTGCCTCCCTCCCTCCCTCCTCCTCCTCTCTCTATCTCCCTCCCCCTCTCACCCTCCGTATGTCATCCAGCGTGTGTATCTCGGGGCTCAGACCGCCGTGAATACAGAGGAACTGGCCGTTCATCAGAGCCGCCAGGGGCAGGCAGTCAAACGCCTCCATACACGCGTCGTAAACCCGCTCCGAGTACTTGATGTTGCCTGAAAAATAACAGAGAGAACAGGGGATCGGTATGTCAATGGTCATGGACGTCTGTATAACGGGGGCTTTGATGGAGCCTACTTGCTGTTGCCTGAGAAATAACAGAGAGAAAGGGAGCATAAAGTTATCAATGACCCTTACTTGTCATGGTAGATCATGTTGTAAAGTACAAGCACACAGAGAGGGCGCCGGTTGTAAATGCTTCTAAGTTGGACTGCCTGTACCAAAAATAAAATTAAAAGAGAAACGACAAAGTTTGTCTTATTCACTCAATCACCATTCCCCAATCACATTTCCTTCTTAGATTCCTAATCAAGGCTGTCTTCTGCCTCACTCCTTCATCAGTTTTTCTTTCCCAATCCAACCCTTAAAGTTCGCAGCTCACTCTCACATTCTATTCCCACCAGACACTCCCATTCCTACTCTAACTCCCCTTCCCCTCTCCCTCCCTCTCTAACTCGCACTCCTGTTTGAAGGTGAAGAACTCGGTAAGACGCCGACACTAATGATTCCCGAGTGTCGCCCTAACTCCCACTAACTCACATTAACTCCCCCTAACTCGCTGTAACTCACACTCCTGTTTGAAGGTGAAATACTCGGTGAGGTGTCGACACTCGTGGTTCCCGAGTGTCGCCCTAACTCACACTAACTCCCTTCCTCCCACTGTAACTCACACTCCTGTTTGAAGGTGAAGTACTCGGTAAGATGGCGACACTCGTGGTTCCCGAGTGTCGCCCTAACTCACACTAACTCCCTTCCTCCCACTGTAACTCACACTCCTGTTTGAAGGTGAAGTACTCGGTGAGATGCCGACACTCGTGGTTCCCGAGTGTCGCCCTAACTCCCTTTAACTCCCACTAACTCGCTGTAACTCACACTCCTGTTTGAAGGTGAAATACTCGGTGAGATGTCGACACTCGTGGTTCCCTCGCAGCAAGAACAGTGTGTTGGGATGGTTCAGCTTCAGAGACCACAGGTACAGAACGCACTGTGGAAAAAAGAACGGGGGAGGTAGAAGTAATGGGGCATTCAGAGGCCATAGGAATAGAACACACTGTGGAGAAAAAAAAAACAGAGTGTAAGGAATCACGGGCCAGGTATCAATGGAAATATCGTTTTCACGGGACTGGAAGCTTCAGCGACCACAGGTACAGAACGCACTGTGAAGAAGAAGACAGTTATAACCACGGCGAGCTTCAGCGACCACAGGTACAGAACACACTGTGGAAAATACGACAGTTATAAATCACGGCGAGCTTCAGTGACCACAGGTACAGAACGCACTGTGGAGAGAGAAACGGGAGTGTTAGGAATCACGGGGAGAGATATCAAGGGAGAATAGCTTCTCCGTTGAGGGGACTGCTACAAAGATTACGGATGAAAACAACTTCAGTGACCTCAAACAGCAATTCAAACAGAATAAGCAATGTCGAGAATTCGTCAATCGAACTTTACGTGTCAGAGTGTCAGAGTGACAACGAAATTTCCTACATTGAACCACTGCACAGTGGGGATTTTTCCGATCTAGCACGTATTTATTCGTAGAGGGCAAACCATAGGTAGAATTGTAGCCAGATTGTGCACAGATGTTGGCTGGTGTGTCCTGGTGAGAATTTTACCTGTAAATGTGCATAATCAACATAGTATAGGGGGTTCAATTGGACCCCCCGCTCAGCCGTTTGGCCCCTGATCAAGCTAGAGCTTCGCGGAAAAGTCAAGCGTGCTGCCTATGACGAAATGAGGCCGAATATATCCAATTTCAAAGTCCAGGGTCATAAGCTGACTTTCCAAGTCAGTTTAATGACCCAACTAAAGTTGGGAAATCGAGACCTCTTGAAACTTCGCAAAGTTAGGGTGTTACGGGGTATTTTGGGGTGCTGATCACGAATTTCATGTTAGTTTTGATCACAGACGATGTCTTTATGCATTTAGGCCAGGTCGGGTCAGGTCAGGTTAGATCAATTAGTAGGCGTCCTGCCGGCCATCCATAGAAGTGTCACCTACTACTGATAGCTTCGTAACATGGAACGAAGGCACTAGAACTACTTCGTAAATATTCAAATGGCTGCTAAAATCGAAATCAGCACCAAAAACTACCCTAGAAACAAGTAAAACTCGAAAAAGTGAACCAAGGTCATTAAAAGGTCAATGACCTTGACTTGACCTTCACGTGACCTTGACACCCACCATTATGCATGGCACCAACATCATTTCACATATTTGAACGTTTAAAACCACAAAAAGACTGGAAACCGCGGATAATGTGAGCTGGCATACGCCGAATCGCGATTCCGGCCAAACATGGTCTCGAGAAATATGCCACAGGTCAAAGGTCAGTTGGGTCAGAGTCATGAAATTTTTAGGTTAGATGTAAAATTGATTATCTCGAGGGTACCGAAAGTTTCGGCGCGATCGGCCGCTTTTTGCGCGAGTAATTTGCGGAAAACCATGGGGTTTTATCCGACCCCTTCCCACAAGTGCGATGGTTAATAAGGTTACGATATGTATAATTTACGTTTGTCATCCTATTCCTAATGAATGTGTCTCAGAAAATATGCATCATATAAATCACGAAGTAAAATTATTCGCCTATGTCCGGAACATACCTATATCGTGCTGTTTGCCCAAGCGCTCCTCGAGTGGGGTGTTAAGATACTCTAATGTGAATATTCCGTGTTCAGGCAAGTTTCGGCAGCCAAACTAGGCGTTGTCTTGTGCAGGAGAAAGTGGCAAATTCGATAGGATATATTTCGGAGTGGAAAAGTGTGGAGAACATTGTTGATTTCCTACATTTATTTAGAATACCATTCCTTCAATATGGTGTCTGTAAGGGTTTTTTGTAAAGGGCATTTTTGTGACCTTAGTAAGGTTGTGGCATACTTTCCGTTTGCCATTCCATTCCTAATAAAGGTGCCTTTCAGACGATATGCAACTGACCTCGCAAGATTAAAACCAACAGGACAGGACAATGAAATTGAGCTATACTTTCGGGCCTTGCTGAGCCCATTGAGTAATCACGCATGAGAGTGAACTTTGGGCGCATTTTTCCCAGTTTTGCCGTGGACATACAGATAAAACAATGCCATATATGAAAAATTCAGACATTTCTTAGCCCTACTGACACAAAAAATAAACAAAAATCCAAAAAAGATTTTTTGAATTAATAGGCGCTAGATCGGAAAAATCCCCACTGTGCACTGTGGGGTAACAAAACAACAATGCTGCGGCGTTTTCAGGCTAGTATGCTAATGTAACAAAAAAAAGTTACGACACCGCAAACTTGTCTTTTCCCTCAAAATTGTGTACGAAGTGAACAAACCTTTATCAGCCACCCAGTAGAGCCCATTTCCCGTCTCACCTCTATGCTGAAGTAGCCTCTATCGACGTAGTCGCCTAGGAACAGGTACTTGGTGGTGGCGGGGGGTCCCCCAACCTCAAACAGTTTCATCAGGTCGAAAAACTGACCGTGCACGTCACCACACACTGAAAAGGGGTGGGGAAATGCGGTCAGTATATAAACCCACATCACACGATACATGCAAACTCGCGCATATTTCACACATTTGTTTGTTTGTTTGTTGGGGGTTGGGGGCGAGCCAACTGCGAGGTCATCTTGCGCCCATATATATTTCACACAGCATTAGCCGTAACACGCGCACACAGCTATAATAGCATTCAAAAGATAATTAAATGGGATGTTGCAAACATACGTATTAACATGCGTGCAAACAATAGGTACTCGTTGTTCATGGACAAAGTTAATGCAAACAGTCATCCAAATCATCTGAATGATTTCGACGAAATCATCTGAATGATTTCGTCGCTTACCTGAACGGCATAGATAGTAGAATCCAGTTTACTTGTGAGATGTCGGGAGAGGGGGAGGGGGAGGTACCGATGCTAGACACTTTGATTTCGCTGCGCCGCGAGGGTCAGACGTGCGTATTTCAGTCGGAATTATACATGAAACCTAACAATGCAGGAATCATCATTCACTATCGTTCAGCCCATCCAAGGCACATGAAGCTGAGTACCCTCCGAGCACAGTTAAAACGAGCAGTGCGACTGTCATCAGACGAGGGTGCGAGAGGCAGGAGCATGGAGAAGATGTGTGAACTGTTCTTGAAAAACGGTTATCCAATGAATGTCATCCGGCGCGTTCAGCGACAGGTAGAGCGAGAGGGAAGGGACCGCGAACGGAGGGGAGGGAGGAGGAGGGGCACTGGGGAGAGAGCAGATGACCCAGGGGGAGAAAGAGGCGCGGGCCGACGCGATCGAATGGTAGGCAATGTTCTTCTGCTTCCGTATGTGAACGAGACTGTTCTGTGTAAGGTAAAACGTGTAGTTAAAAAATCTGGCTTGGATATTAATGTCGCCTCCTACGCGCCTGATACGCTGAAGCGTAAATTAGTTCACTCCTCGTTCACGGACCCTCCGTGCCCAGCAGGTAACAGGACCTGCAACACGTGCAAAATGATTAAAAGTGGCAAATGTACCGACAAAAATGTAGTGTATGAACTTATGTGTAAACTGTGTGGGGCCACATATATAGGCGAGTCCAAGAGGCCCCTTCGCCTTCGGTTCAACGAACACTTGAGGTGTGCGGCGAACGAAACCACACTCACCCCGGTAGGAGATCATTTTGAGGCATGTCATAAGGGAATACCCAAAGCTGACAAGCTCGCCAATCCTCCTATCGAAGTGAGGGTCCTGAAGAAAACGAGGGATCACCCAGACAGGAAAATCTCTGAGTCCCTGTACATTAGGGACCGTAAGCCAGTGTTAAATGACAACTTGTCATCTTGGCGGCTGATGGGGTAGACCTACCCTCCCCCCTCCATGTGATCGTTCTGTGTATTCCCATGTGATGATTCGTCTCATTCTGTGTAGCGTGTAACTGTGCGAAAATTTGCTGCCGTCGCCGTCTTAAAATTGTGTGTTATAGCTGTCAATGCATCGATTTTGTAACTCAGGATATAGGGGTGCAAAGTGTGCCTGTTAGGTGTTTAATGTTATGTAACTGTATGTACTCCGTCACCGATTTTGTTTTCCTGCTCGAAAGATGGCCCACTAAAATATGCACACTGGCAGTGCATAGGAGTAGACATCGGGTGAAGGTTTTCACGAGCTGTTAAAAATGAATTTATTTAAGTGTATTTGTGATCGTTTTTGGTGTATTTGGAACAATATACATCTGATGATGGGCTGTGCCCGACTGCAAATGTAACCTATGTCTTTTAATATTTGGCTATCTATCAACAAGGAGAAGGTCGAGAAAAAAGCAATACTACTTAGTCATCCAAAGACATATAATGATTACGAGAATTGACTTTCATCATGACTGCACTTCGATCTTTAACAAAATCCCAAAAAGCAATAGCTAGCTAGACAGATATCACTTTTTAATCCCCCTCCCTCCTCCCTCTCTCCCTCCCTTTCCCCTCTCCCTCCCTCCCTCCCTCCCTCTCTCTCTCTCTCTCTCTCTCTCTCTCTCTCTCTCTCTCTCTCTCTCTCTCTCTCTCTCTCTCTCTCTCTCTCTCTCTCTCTCTCTCTCTCTCCCTTCCTTCCCCCTCCCCTCCCTTCCCTTCCTTCCCCCCTCTCCCTCCCTCCCTCCCTCCCTCCCTCTCTCGCCCTCCCTCCTCCCCTCTCCCCTCTCACCTGTAACCGGCGCCTCAATATTAATCATGGTCTGCTCGGTCCTCAGCAGTGCCGCACCATCGTTGATGATCCTCAGCGCGGCCGTCTCCTGGAGTCGACCCTCCACGAGGAAGTGGTGCCTCAGGACGTCAGGTCTCGGTCGGCCGGTGACGGAGTCAAACACCTCGGCGCAGGTCAGCCGGTGACTTGGCGGGAGGGGCACACCTGCCGGGGCAGAACCGGCGGGGATGTGTCAGAAAATGTGGAACATGGAAGAGATGAGATGCAATGGTGACAAAACTGCACGGAAAACCGGCAGTCGGCGGGGAATCGGCAACAAAAATGGTGGTAAATATCAACAAATGTGGAACGCAAAAAGAAACCAAGATGCCGTAGTAGTAAGACTGTCCGGAATAAACCGGCGGGAAATTGTCAGAAAACGTGGTGGAAGAACTGCCATACATTCATGACACACTGTAGAAAATACCGTGCGGAAATAGCACACACTGGCAAGCTGAGGTGGCATATAGAGACGACAACAGATGCAGTAACGGCAGTACCGTCAGTAAAACAGTAGAGAAATGATCAAAAATGGTGGTAAATGTCAACAAATGTGGAATATAGAAGGCATGACGCGCGATAGTTGCCACACTGCCGAGACATCCCGGTGGGGAACTGTTCGAAAATGCGGTGGAAGAATTGCAACAGGTGCATCCACCATACAATGCAAAAACTGAGCCGGGGAGACGTGGTCAAGAGTGATTAATAGAGAAGACATGAAATTGGGTGGAGGCAAAACTGCCGGCGACAAAAAGAAAACGTCATGGAAAAACTGCAATACATTCACGATACACCACAACATACAAGTAACTATGTAGAGGACATAGCGCGACAAAGTCAGCAAATGTGAAATATAGGTGATATGAGACGCAGTAGTAGCTAAACTGCCGGCGAAACCGGCAAAAAGGCCAGCAAAAACGATGGAATATAGACATGAGATCCGGTCTTGGAAAAAATGTAGGAGAAACGACGCTCGACAAGAGATGGTCAGCAAAAACAATGAATATCAACAAATGTGGAATAAAGTCCTCATGAGATGCGGTACTGCAAAACTGCCGGCCAAAATCCAGCGAGAAAGGTTGGCAAAAAAAAAAAAAAAACAGTGAAAAAGATCAACCAAGTCGCCATAGCCGGCGGCAACAACACATCTGTAAGTGATGCCAGTAAAAATAGTCAGCAAAAACGGTGGAAGAAAATGAAATAATAAACTAACACTAAAACTGCCGGGGAGATTCTAGAACTGGTCAGAAAATTTGAAGCGTATCAACCTGCAATAAAGTAACAATTAATTGCAAAACCCGCGAAAGAATGGTCAGTAAATGTGTTGGAAGTGGATGGAATAATGCCAATACAATCGGAAGTCAAAGCCAGCGTGAAATGGTCAGCAATGGAAGTGGCAATGCGGAAATGTAGTGATGACCTGTAACAGGACTGCTACAGGTACGATAGAACTACGGACTTCGCAGTTCTATCGGAACAAAACACTGAGCAAATGATCCGAAAAGTAGTGCAATAGATACATTCACCATAGCCCCCTACATGACCCCGCGGCCCCCCAGCCGCTCAAAGCCATGGCGCGCCCTCGCCAAACAGTGTGTTCGCGTCGAACGCGAGCCACCGCCGCCGGCGCTGCGGTACTCGCGCCCCCCCCCCCCCCCCCCCGCCTCCAGCTGACGACCGCGCGGCGACTTTTTCCTTACCGAGCCGCCGTGTCGTGGAATAAACTTTCGCGTGTGACTACACTTTCCACGTCACGTCGCCAGCTCATGACCAGGCTGGAACAGTGACAAATACCCTCCTTAGCTGCTTGTTTTCTACTCTGTTACTTTCATTACATGTAGGTATGTGTGTTTACAAATGTATGTTGTGCTGTCAATGCATCGCCATGTTAACTGGGCTCGTAATAGCCACCTGTGGAGAGTTTCCAGTATAAATACAATACAATAAATGCAATACAATACAATACAGCAGGTAAGAAGCGAGTGCAACCGAGGAGACATGGTCAACAAACGGTACAGACGACACGAGGGATGAGATTGTGGCAAAACTCCCGGCGAGAGAGGCGAGAATGATCAGAAAATGCGATGGAAGAGGTTCAACACACTCACGATACAGTGATTATAGTTGAAGCAATAGCAAGACGCCACACAGGGCAGGGGGCCACCGCCCTATGACCGGCAGCCGCCGCCGGATGTCAGTGATCCAGACCGCAAACTGGCCGAGCGGATGGGGGCAGTGGATTTTGCGGCCCTGTCCGCCGGCAGTAACCACGGCGCTGCGTCACACGCATACCTTCCCGGTGAGCTGCAGACGTGCACACACGTGTGGGTGCGTGTGGACCGGGTGCGCCGCCCCCTCGAGGCGCCATACGTGGGACCTCTCCGCGTCCTCGAGCGAACCGGCGCCTGGTACCGGTTGGAACTGCCCTCGGGCGCCACAGACACCGTGTCAGTGGAGTGTCTCAAGCCGGCGTACGGAACGCCGGCGAAGCAGACAGACTCTGGCCTTCAACGCCCTGCACCGGACGGCGCGCCGCCCGCGCCGTGCTCTCCGCCGTGCCCGCTGTGGAGTGTGGGCCCCTGCGGAGTAAAACCGTCAGCTCTGGCGCAGCGGTCAGTGCCGGCCGCCGGGCAGCGGCTGCGTTCTCGCCGGGGCCGTCCTGTGCGAGTGGCGCCCAGTGATCCCGTGCCGAACTCGACGCCCGACGCCCTGTACGGACCAGGGCCGGTCGGCAGGTCCGTTTCCGTGTGCCGCCCGAGTCCGTGCGATAAGTGTGTGTTTCACAAAAGGTGTGTTACGAATCGTGCAAAGTGTTCGCTCCGCGCTTAATGGGGGAAGTGATGTGGCACGGTAGCGCTATTTATTTAGCTGCGGCGTCTTCCCCAGCCCGGACGCTCTTTGCGCCGCCGATCGCCGCCTCGCGCAGTGGTTACGCTATTTTTCACGAACGTTTGTTTTCCTACTTTGTATGCTTGTAAATTTGTTATTATCGTCACTTGTGTTTTATAGTTTTCAATCGTATTTAATAACTGTGTTACCGCCGCTGCACGCCGCCGCCACGTGCCGTCTACTGGGCGTTGGGCCAGATCGTGGAGACTGTTCGCAGTTCTGACGGCCTGGTTCGCACCAGAAGCTCTGTGGTGGAGAGGCCAGTGACGAAGTTAGTGCTTCTTAGCGAAGAAGGGTAGAGTCGCTTAGCGAAGAAGGGTAGAGTAGTAAACGATAGAATAGGAGAGTCGCTACAGCTGCTAGCTTTCTTAGTTGAAGTCCTAGAGGCTTCAAGGGGGCCGGTGTTACCGCCGCCGCCACGTGCCGTCTACGACGGGGCGGCGCCCCTCCGCGTCGGGTTGCACGGCGCGGGGGCCGGCCCGGCCGCCGCTCCGGCCCAGCATTCGCTGGCCGGTCAGAGCCGAAGGCGGGTGCGTTTTCACCCGGTGCCTTTTTCTTCCTCCGAGGGCTTAACCTGATGGCGCGTATAACGGTGGCAAACGATCCAAATCCGAGGAGGTAACAATCTGTCCGTGCTTTTTTTGTAATTTCTAGATTGACCTTTCCGTGCCTTCCATCCGGATCCGATCCAGTGCTTCAAGTGCCAAGTGCCAGCAACAGTTATGAAACAGGTAGAATAATGGCATAACGGTGTATGATACTCATCGAAACTGACGTACAAAGGTCAGAAAACGTGGAGGAAGAGAAAGTAGGGTTACACAACATACTGGAACGAGTGAGGCACAGGGTAGAACCGTCGCAAAACGACAGCGAAGGCAATGAAACAGTCGAAAAATGTCATAGCATGTAATATCAATCAATACGTGTTGGAAACAACATGAAAAATTACACAGCATAGTGGGAGCTGGCAAATATGCTGGGGGGGGGGGGCAAACCCCCACCCCCACCCCAGGGCGCTGGTTCAATGCTTTAAAATCCGCAATCCTTGAAGCTGTTGTGCTTCTTTCAGTGATGTATCATCTGCCTTCGAGCATGGGGGTATGACGTCCGAAGGGCAACCGTGTTCCCCTGCGGACATGCCTATGTGTGCCTAGAGTGCCTATTGGAAGTTTATGAAGCTTTCCCCGCAAGGAGCCGTTGCCCATTCTGCCGCGACCACTTGGACGAACAACCGATGGCGGTTTCCTTTGAAAACAACCATCTTCCCGTGTTACAGCGGAAAAGAAAAGGCTAGAGTTATAGCCGTTTCCGCGCTTAGTTATTCGTTAATCAAGTCTCCATAGATCGGATGACTTCGTAGAGGAAACCCGACGTTCAATGGATGAGACATGACGCATGCGTCCAAACCGGAGGATTGACACCTGATGACAACACAAAAGACTCACAACCCCAAACACCCCCGAAGAACTCGTATGCCCAGAAGGTGAAAGCCACAAATTCTACCGATGCCTCTTAGATGAGTGTAGCACAACTCGGGCAGCTACTCAAAAGATTCGGCTTCACCGTCGTTGCCAGTGGTGGTTCAGCGGACTTATCGGTGCCACGTGCATCGCTTGGTTTCCTTTTACTCTAAAACAGTGCAAACTTACCTTGGTGTTGCACGGGGGTCTGTACATGATGCCCGTGGATCTATTGGTGATTTGTGCGAGATAGATATGTACGTAACCAATAGATGCGTTAATAAAACGTATCATCGTACTTCCCTTCCAGACGTTATATGGGGAGATCAAGGGCCCAAATGGCCGCTCAAGTCAGCTCCAAGAATATGGTCGAGTACGCCAACGGGCGATTCAGCTTGGCCTGATAAGCGAAGCAGTTTCCACCCAGGCTTTGCCGCACGGGTACCGCAGGGCGCATGTCACAAATCAGTGACCTGACCGGAACTCTTCATGTTCTTTCCTCAGGTGCTCTCACCGCCGACGAGCTGCGAAAGTGTAGCGCGGTCGCAAAGCTCCGCGGATTCGGCTATGCGGCTGGGACGGTGTCTGGCCCCGACATGGAGGCAGCCGACGACATCGCAAGCACCGCCGCCGCCGACAACACCACTGCCGCTACTCTCACCAACACCACCATCGCTGTCGTCACGACCAGCACCAGACGGTTCCTTTTGAAGTTCTTTGTTGTAAAAGACTCGGCGTCGAGTGATGCTGCGCATTGCGCGAAGATCCGTATTCTTCACACGAAGGAGTAAGGAGAAGGTGTGCCCGCCCCGCCGT